AAGCCCCCATTATAATAAGCTTCCTTATAGGTACAATAGAACAAAACCAAACTTGGGTGGTGCCTGTGGCTCAAGGAGTAGGGCGTTGGCACCATATACCAGACGTGGTGGGTTCAAACCCAGCCCCAGCCAAAAAAAACTGCAACCCCCCCCCCAAAATACAACCAAACAACTATACCCACATAATTTTTTAAAAATGCACAAGAAAAACCCTTACTAGGAGTCTTTAACCAAAGTTAAAGAAATAAGGACATTCTTGGCTGGGGGTGGTGGCTTATGTCTGTAATCTTAGCACTCTGGCAGACCAAGGTGGGTGGATTCTCTGAGCTCAGGAGTTGGAGACCAGCCTTTGAAAGAGTGAGATCCCATTGCTACTAAACATAGAAAAACTACCCAGGTGTTGTGGTGGGCACCTGTCATCCTCAAGAGGCTGAGTCAAGAGTTTGAGGTTGCTGTGAGCTGGGACACCATGGCACTCTACCCAGGGTGCCAGAGTGAGACTTTGACTCAAAAATAAAAAAACAAAGAAACATAAAAAGAAATAAGGTTGTTCTCTAATTTCATGACAAGCTGATCACAAAACACTGGCTTTTTAGAATATTGTTTTATGATAGACCATTTAAACTCCACGCAAGACGAGGGGGAAAGGATTTAGCTAGGAACACACATATATAATTTAAAAAAACTGACTTACCAAGATACGCAGGTGCATGGGTGCACACATACACACCTCTGGGGAAAGGAAAACATACACTGCCTGGACTCATCCATCATGAACACGGGTGTGTGTGTGTGACTGTGTTCAGTCACATGCTCAAAACATGGCTGCTGTGGGCTGAATGAACCCCCCCCACCGCAGGGTTAATGTGCTGGGAACTCAATCCTCAGTGCAACGTTGTTGGAGGCTTGAGAAGTGATTAGGTCCTGAGCGTTCTGCTCTCATGAATGAATTAACTTCATTATTGCCAGATTGGGCTCTTTATCCTGAGGGTGGGTTCACCCTAAGAAGTGAGCCCAGACCTCTCCTGCTCACGCTCACGCTCTCTTACCATCCAACACCTCCCGCCGTGGTATGACACAGCACAAAGGCCCTCACCAGATGTGATCTTGAACTTCCCAGCCTTCAGAAATATGAGCCAAATAAACTTAATACTGTTTATAAATTACCCAGCCTGCGGTATTCTGTTATGGCAGCACAAAACAGACCAAGATGATGATGTTTGCTCAAAACATTTCCAATGGGCTTTGTAGCCTAAGTAATATTTTCTCAAGAGAAGGGAAAGCCTGGGTTGTTACTTGATGGGAAATCTGTCCTACAGAGTTGTTTTCACATACTGTAAATTAGTAAGGAAGCACGTGGAAAGAATGTCCTGACGCAGATGGTAAGATCCATGCCCAATGCACTAAACGAAACCCTCCTCCCCTACTTTTCATCTTCTCAGGAGCAGCCCAGGGCCAAAATTTAGGAATCATGCTTAATTCTCCCTCTTGGCCTCACACCCTAAATTTCACCTGTCACCAAGTGCCGAGCCTTAAATCTCCAACATAGGTCTGTACACACACACACACACACACACACACGACCTTTATTGATATATAATTCACCTCCCATACAATTCATCAATTTAATGTGTATAATTCAACAGTTCCTAGGATAGCTACAGAGTTGTAAATCATTATCAAATTAATTTTAGACATTTTTCCATCATCCCCAGAAGAAACCGTAGACCTAAGAGCAGCGTCTCCTAATTCACCCCTGTACACCCGCAGTCAAAAGCAACCATTCCTTCACTCTCTGTCTATAGGTGTGCCTGTTCTGGTAACTTCATATGAACAATCGTATAATGTATATGTTCTTTGGTGTTCGGATTCTTTCACTCAGCATTTTCAATGTTTTAGCATCTATCAGCACCCCATTCCTTTTTATAGCCAAATCGTATTTTATTACGGTATGTAAAAATATTATCACATTTTCTTTGCCCATCTATCAGTTGACAGTTGGGTCACTTCCATTCTTTGGGTGTTATGAATAACACTACTATAAATGTTAATGTTTTTTTTTTTTTTTTTTTGAGACAGAGCCTCAAGCTATCCCCCTGGGTAGAGTGCTGTGGCATCACAGCTCACAGCAACCTCCAACTCCTGGGCTCAAGTGAGTCTCCTGCCTCCGTCTCTCAAGTAGCTGGGACCACAGGCACCCGCCACAACGCCTGGCTATTTTTTGGTTGCAGCCATCATTGGTGGGCCTGGGCGGGATTCGAACCCGCCACCTTAGGTGTATGTGGCTGGTGCCTTAGCCACTTGAGCCACAGGTGCTGAGCCAACGTTAATGTTTTTGAGCAGACATTTTTTTGTCATTGTTGTTGCAGTTTTTGGCCAGGGCTGGGTTTGAACTACCTCCAGTATATGGGGCTGGTGCCCTACTCCTTTGAGCCGCAGGCACCACCTCCAGACATATGTTTTAATTTCTTGCTTGTTTGCACTTGTCTTAAGTACATACCCCAGACTGGATATCCTGGGTTATAAAATAAAATAAACTGTATGTTTAACAGTTTGAGGAACTGTCAAACTGTTTTCCAAGTGTGAAAGTTCCAATTTCTTCACATCCTCACCAACGGCTGTCACAATTTGTCTTTCATGGTGGGTATGAAAGGGTAACTCATCGTGGCTACAATCTGAGTTACGCTGATAGCTGACAATGTTAAAAATCTTGTGTGTTTCTTGGCTTATCTTTTTTGGAGAAATACCTAGTCAGATCCTTCACCCTTTTTTAATAGAATTATCTTTTTTGTTCCTGAGTCATAAGAGTTCTTTATATAGCCTAGATACAATCCCTTATCACATATAGGATTTGCAATTATCTTCTATTCTGTGGGCTATCTTTTCACTGTCTTGATAGTGTCCTTTGATGTGCAAAAGTGTTTAATATTGATTAAGTTCAATTAGTCTATTTTTCTTTTGTCACGTGCACTTTCTGGTGTGATATCTAAGAAAGAAACACCCAATCGAAGGTCATTTCATGTCCATGTTTTTTTTTGAAGAGTTTTAAAGTCATAGCACTTACATTTAAGCCTCTGATCCATTTTGAGTTAATGTTTCACATACTCATCCTCTCCAGAAACACTTGCACAGAGACACCTAAACCAAGCTCTTTATCAGCTCTCTGGGTTCACCTCAATCCTTAGTTGCCACCTAAAAGGAATCGTCGTGGATACTGAAGAGAAGGGATGTGGGTGGACATACTTGTCTTATCCCCGATCTTAGGGGAAAAGCTTTCAGCCCTTCACCATTAAGTTATGGTGTAAGCTGTGTGGTTTTTTTTTTTTTTTTGGCCGAGGCTGGGTTTGAACCCGCCACCTCTGGCATATGGGACCAACGCCCTACCATTTTGAGCCACAGGAGCTGCCCCAAGCTGTGTGTTTTTCATAGATCCCTTTCCAGGTTAAAGACATGCTCTTCTACTCCTAGTTTATTGTTGAGTGCTCTTCTTCTTCTTTTTTTTAAATGGGAAGAGGCATTAGATTTTGTCAATGCCCTCTCTGCACAGACCCTATCTTTTTGCATTTGTGGATGCTTTCCCTGTATTTTTTTTACCTCTCATCTTCACAGGTCTCTCCTTGAGGGCATTCCTGGATCATCCTATTCAAAAGCCTCCACTCATCACCAAATCTTCCCCAGGCAATCAACTATAGAGTTTAACCTTTCAAAGCGCTCAGCCATTATTATGACATGTGCACATTCTGGTGACGCTTGCATAGTCATACAGACATTTGCCAGCATGTAACCTTTATTTAATTTTTATTTTATTTTTTTGAGACAGAGTCTCACTCTGTTGCCTGGGTACAGTGCCCTGGTGTCATAGCTTGCAGAAACCTCAAACTCCTGGGCTCAAGAGATTCTCCTGCCTCAGCCTCCCAAGTGGCTATAGGTGCCCAACACAGCAGCTGTCTAGTTTTTCTAGTTTTAGTAGAGAAGGGGTCTCACTCTTGCTCAGGTAACCAGAATTTTAGGCCTCACAACTATCATATCTACAAGATAGATACTATGCTCACCATCATACAGATAAGGAAATTGAAAGAGAGGTTACATGTCTTGCCCAGGATCATGTAGTCTGTAAGTATAAGACCCAGGATTAAAACCAAGCCACCCAGCTGCAGACACCATTCTCTTAAACGCTTGCTGGTGTGATTTTCAATATTTGCCTTTTCTCACTTGGTAACTTATTTATAATTTATACATAAGCACTACCAATCCCATTTTTTCCCCTGTACCTCTAACATCTAATGCCATGCATGGCTGGTGTTCAATAAACTATTTAATGAACAAATAACGCTGGTCCCAAAATGCCCCACAAGAAAAGAGCTTCCCAGGACTGCGGTGAGCACTGCCCATTCATTACACGCACCCATGGAGATTCACAAGGCTCATTTGTTTTGAGGAAGGTCGTTCAACTGTAATCCAGTGACTCACGGACAGACCCATCTTCTGACCCTGGTTCCCACTGCATGAATAGCCCAGGGGAGCTGTGTTCCAGGGAACACACTTTGAGGAATAACTGCCCCAGAGAAGCAGGTCAAACAGCACGGTTCCCAGAAGGAGGCTTCTGCCCTCACTGCGGGGCTGGCTCTCTGCTCTTATCTAAAAAGCCCATTTTAGAGTCCCCGAAAACGTCTTCACCACCACAGCTCAGCTCAGGAAGAAAACCACAATATTGGGTTTTTCCTTTTCTTCCCTAAAACACCTTAAGCTACATGACCCCTGAGAAAACAGGAAGATCTTTTTTTTTTCCAACTCTCCCAGGAATGGCTCAACTCCCCCTGTATTTTTGTGGTCTCATCCCACATCACAGAGGCAGCTGGAATTTTCTCAGCGCTCTGGCTTGTTGAACGCGATTCAAACAAAATCGCCTTCATGATGGGCTCCAGCCTGTTCTCGGAGCGCAGGCGAAACCAGTGGCGCGCTGACCATGAAACGGCTCCATTCCTTGCCTTCCTACTCACCTTAATGTCGATATTTAAATCATGGCTTTAGATGTGGAAGGACTTCAAAATTATCACATCACAGCTTCCCGAGTGCACGGGGTCATTGCTCGAGTGCTCTCTGAAAAAGAGAAGAAAAAATCTCTGAGACCTAAGAAAATAGCAAACTATAGCACAACCTCATGCCTGAGCAAAAGAAGCATACGCTGTGCTATGGTTAATTTGCTGTCTCTGGAGAGTTTTTTCTCTCTCAATATTATTCATCAACATCATCTACAAATTACAGGCTGTGGTTAGAGTATCTTTTTTTTTTTTGACACAGAGTCTCACTATGGCATCACAGCCCACAGTAACAAACTCTTGGGTTGAAGCAATTCTCTTGCTTCAGCCTCCCTAGTAGCTGGGACTACAGGCGCCCACCACAATGCCTGGCTATTTTTTTTTGTTGTTGTTGTTGTTGTTGTTGTTTAGCAGGCCTGGCTGGGTTTGAACCCACCAGCCCCGGTGGGGCCCTAACCACTGAGCTACAGGCACCAAACCTAGCTATCTTTTTAAACTCTTGTAAAAAATACTCAGTAAAAGAATGCATTTTTGTTTCCTTCACCTTAAACACAGAGAATAAAGTCATTTCTGCACAATCATTCTCCAAAGCTCTTATTTTTCTGTGGTGACTGAATTTTTATGTATTCTGGTCTGTGGGCAAGAGTCCTTTTGGTGACTGTGAGTACTTTCTCGATTCAAATCTACATTTGTGCAAAATACAGAGTCTTGGGCATTTGCGCCGTGAACCAGGGAATGCTGAGCAAACACAGGAGACAGGTTGGAACTCACCAGGGAGCTGGATGTGCATAGCCAGAAGGAACGAACACAGGTTCAGGTCCTTAGAAAAGGAGAGAAGCTGGACCAAGGAGTTAGGGAACTAGACCAACGCGTCTAAGCCATCCAGGATGAGTGCTTTTAATAAAACTTGGCCTAGGACAATAATGTTAGGCACAGCCTATAACAGGCATTGTCCTTAATGGCTGAGGAGGGAGGGGAACCCCCACCTGCCCTGGAATGGAACAGAATAGAAGACAAACATACGTGTCCCCTGGTGGTTTGCCCGACTAGAAGTAGTTTGTATAAAGGATGACACACATGTTAACAGTGAGATCCCTCGGGCTCAGAATGGCAGTCAGTGTGACACTTTGTGACTCAGCCCGGGAGAAATCTCCCCATGCTCCCATACAACAGAGGAAAGCCCCCAGATCTACCAGTTGGCTAAGATGGGTGGCTCTGAGAAATCCTTTGTTTTAGGCTACCAAGGTACTTCCTCCTGCGTTCCCCACAGGTCAGTTCAGCACTTCCAGGTATTACCTTTTTACAAAGCCAGGAAAGAATTCATTTAAGCACACAAGGCCCTGAACTGGACACCAGCCAGCAAGATACCAGCACCGCAAAGGACCACAGTGGGCACCCCTCAGTTCTCAGTTTTATAAATATTGAGGAGGTGTTTGTCAGAAGCCTCCTTTATCAAGGATAAAGAATACAGGGTTCTCCCCAAACCCAGAGGCAACTTAGAAGGAAATCATCTTGTGGTGGGTGAGGGGATGGAGGGGATTCAACCCATGTGAAATTCCCACGAGGGGAAAAAAAGAAAAATGATCATCACCACTGCCTGGTGACATTCAGACAGCCACGAACTCATTATGTGAGGCCGCAGAGATGGTTGCGGTAAACACAGACAAATTATTGGGTTTAAAGAGTCTGTTTCTCGGGCCTAAAAAATAATCACATTCCCTTTGCTCCCATAAATCTGTTTATTACTAAAGCAGCTTTGGAGCCTTGAGAACTGGTCTAGACTAATTTAAGCCTCTCTTTTCCCCCTTAGGGTTCCTTCTCAGGACTCACAACTGGTTTGTGAAAAATCCCTTGGCCGCTTTGGGAAGGAACACCCTCTTACTGTAGCAGCCACAAGGGAAGGGAAAATTAAATTATGAGAATAGGGAACAGGCCATGAGAACCACCAGAGGCCAAGAGGAAAGAGAAAGAGAAGAGATTATAAGTAGAAGAGGTGTCTGCATGCCCCTCCTTTTTCGGGAGGGGGAGGACAGAGAGTCTCACTCAGTCACCCTGGTATTGAGTGCTGTGGCATCATAGCTCACAGCAACCTCAAACTCTTGAGCTCAAGTGATCCTCTTGTTTCAGCCTCCTGAAGAGTTAGGACTCCAGGCACGGGCCATACCTGGCTAGTTTTTCTATTTTTAGTAAAGATAGCATCTCACTCTGGCTCAGGCTGATCTTAAACTCCTGAGCTCAAGTGATCCACCTACCTCGGCTCCTAGAGTGCTAGGATTACATGTGTGAATTACCACGCCCAGCATGCCCCTTCTTCTTAAAGAAAGTGCCACTCTCTGCCCAGACACAAACATCTGTCCCTGGTCCACATTCCTAGTGCCCTTCTAGAGTGGGAGCTCTCCTACTCATAGTATTCAGAAGATTCTTCTGGCGGTTCTACAACTGTGGGCAGAGATAGAAGAAAATCTACAGGGCAGATCATGAGCCCCAGGACCAAGAAAGAGCTTAAAAGGCCTGGACTTGTAACACTGGAGTGTTGCTTTAAGAGAGCAATTTTCAACTGAGGTGCCAGGGCATACCTGTGTACCATGAGAGGATCTTAGGTGTGCCGTGAAAAAATTTTAAAGATCATTAATTAAATTATTTGCAAGTGAAGTTCTAAGTACAGTAAGTATATTCTTTATTTTACTCGTCTTTTTTTTGATCAACATAATTTAAATGTGCCACAGAAATTTAACTACAGGTTCAAGTGTACTTGTGAGATAAAATAAGGTGGAAAAACACAGCTCTAAGACAAAGGGAAAACCTCAGTTGCTAGATAACAGAATTTCAGAATAGAATATATAGACAGGAAAACACAATGATCAGCTTTCATGCAGTCGGGGTAATTTAGGAAAAAGCAAAGAACAAGAATGCAACCAGAAAAGGGTCCACTTTTAGTGACAGGTTGAAGTTGAGGAAACTAGTCAAACTGGTATAAAAACGGGGGGGGGGGGACTTCCAGAGGGAAACAGGGCAGTAGGGGATGGATGTGGACGGTTGGTTCATCGGGTTTAAGGCCACAGGAAGAGATGCTGAGCTCAAGGCCAGAAGAAAAGCTTTCGTCGAATCCCCCCAGGGCTCTCTCGACCTTTCCAGGGTATTTCTTCCTGTTCAAAACAAACTTTCCCTTGACTTTCACAACTCAAGTGTGAAAACTCTGACAATGCCCTGTGACTAATTTTAGACCCGCTGCTCTGGAGGAGAGGGAAAGACATCCTTTTATGTCAATGTTTCCAATCTCTGGTTTGACAGAAGGTGCCTAGGGAAGCGTCCATTTTGAATGGACGTGTCTTGTGAGTTTAATTCACCTGCTACTGAACTCCTATAATACCTCTATGTGCCTCTAGGTCAGAGCTGTGGGCCCAATGTCCCTTCTCCACCAGGAGCTCCCAAATCCCCCCATTACAAGCCTTGGAAACAGGGCTGCCATGAGACCCAAATTTGACTCTCCATTTTCTCCCATCTATTTCCTTAGACACCCAGAACCAGGAATGTACATTCTTCCAGATATGTGCACTGAGCTCTGAATACTTCCTTCCTACCTTCACACCAACCTCAGGATATCTTTTAGGATTCAGGTCAGATGCCTCCAGCTTCCAGGAGACCTTCTCTGACTGCCTCCGTTCTTCCCAGACACCTCTCTCTCTCCTGAATTTGTGCCAAACACCTGAGCACTGTAGTTAATTCTCAACCATCCAGGGTTCCATGAGCCATAGTAACAATAAAAAAATTATTATAATTTGAACATTTGTGTGCAATAGATAAGTAAAATGCCTACAAATCAACAAAACCATCCACCCACCAGCAGGTCTCCATGGACCAGAAATAACATAATGACCTGCAGACATCGCTGTGAGCTGGAGGAGTGAGGGGACAGCTCCATCCCATCACTCTTTAGACAGGTAATTACTGTGTTGACCCCAAGACTTGTCATCCTGATAGCGTTAATCCTAAGAGCAAACAAGTGGATGGAAAAGCCATTGGTCAGTGACCAGACTGTCACATGTAGGAGCCGAGGTTAGGAGCAATATCAGTGGAATGGTCCCATTAGGAGTCAGGACAGCAGGGACAGTGCCCTCCTCAAAGATCACTCTTTCTCTGTGATTCCTTTAGAAAGTGAAAGGAGAGCTCGCAATGGCTGGCTGGGGTTCCTTATCATACTATGTGTGCATGTGCGTGCACACAGCTGTAGAAAACACTCGGAGAAAGAACAAATAATGGAGCATTTTAAGAGTACTAACCACTGGTCTGTTTTACTTGTCAAGTAATTTATAGATTTTTTTGTGATCCTGGACTTATTGTTACACATGAGAACAGTATCTATAGAAGAGTGAATCCATTCCTAAATGCTGAAGGTTTTGCTAAGTAAATGCTGGCTATTTTCACTAAGAAGAATATATTAAAGTTAATAGTGACAACCATTTGGCATTTTACCTTTCAATCAGATACTGGCTGGGGTGGTGGCTCATGCCTGCGATTCTAGCATTCTGGGAGGCTGAGGTGGGTGGATTTCTTGAGCTCAGGAGTTCAAGATCAGCCTCAGACCTGTCTCTACTAAAAATAGAAAAATTAGCCTCACGTTCTGGTGGGCGCCGAGGTGGGTAGATTTCTTGAGCTCAGGAGTTCAAGATCAGCCTCAGACCTGTCTCTACTAAAAATAGAAAAATTAGTCTAGCGTTGTGGTGGACACCCAGAGTCCAGCTACTTGGGAGGCTGAGGCAGGAGGATTGCTTGAGCCCAAGAGTTTGAGGTTGCTGTGAGCTATGACACCATAGCACTCTACCCAGGGCAACAGAATGAGACTATCTCAACAACAACAACAAAAAAAAAAAAA